GCGAGCGCGTCGGGACTCCACCCCGCAGGGACGCGGCCAGAGCCAGACCTCACCCTGAGCCTCGAAGTAACCCGTTTAGGAGTCGACTAAGCACCGTAAGTGGTGGCTAGTGTGGGCTTCTTTGACTCTCAGTGACCAGAGGCTCGGCCTCTTGCCCTCTTTATTTGCCTCTTACTGCCCCTTCCCCGTGATAGCATTTAATTAAAGGACGTTGGCTACTCAGCTGCTAGAAACCCCTTAACTCCAGCTTTTTGAATGCAAATGCTGCCTCCAGCAATTGGGGGGCCACTTAACTCTACATGTTCCAGACAGTTTTTTTATTTCTCGTTCAGTTCCTTTCTGAATAGGACACGAGTGGTCAAGTGAGGCGATTTTGCCTCCCAAGAAACTTATGGCAATATCTGGTGAATTTCTCAACCTTTTGTTTTGGGGAGAGAAGTGTTCCTGGCAGTGTGTCCAGATGGTGGAGGTGGGTTGAGACCATGTACACTGCTAAATATAATATAACATGAGGAACAGGACCCCACGGCAAGGAATGACCTGCCCTGAAATAGCAGTACTGTTGAGGGAGAAACCCTGGATTAAAAGAAGTAAAATAACTTCTCTGAGGACTGATTGCCACAGCATCCTAACTAGGTAGCAGGTGTCCCCATTTTACAAATTAGGGCTTAGGTTCAGAGACTTGAATTTACCAAAGTCATGTAGCTAGTAGCTTCCATTCCTTGTTTTTCCCTTTTAATTTGTTGAAATTGCAAATTATTATATTTTAAGACAAGACTGTGTTAAGGTATAACACCATAGTTTACCAGTAGTTATAGTTTCTACATATTTGTGAGACTTGAATTTCAGTTAACTTTTTACTGATTCATGCATTCTCACAGCTTCAAGCATCAGTGAGTCTGAGGGCATCCATAACTGTATCTTTATTTTTATCCTTCTATATAAAAAAACTGTACATGACTATTAAAGCTAATCACCACTCATCTTAAACTTACCGCCATATTTTATCATCAGACTACTGGCCCAATGCTGAGCAGTGGAATCTGTACATTTAATAAGTTAGCAAAAAAACTATTATAACATTTCTAACAAAACATAGGATTCTGTGAGGAACTCCTAAAGATCTTCTGCTTTCTGCCTTTGTGCCTTATGAAACCACTATCTCCTTAAAGTAATAGTTAAATGCAGACACTCTGGCCAGTACAGTGACCCCTCATCTGCCTACTGGATTTGTTGGCAGTAAGGAGTCCAAAGTAGGCAGATAACAATCTCATCTTTTTAATAGGAAAACCGATGGCCTATAGTGATCTTTATTACCGATTCTTTTTTAAATTAGGATTTAATTGACATATTTTTAAAGTACACAACATGCATGATTTGATATATATGTATATATTGCAAACTGATTACCACGTTTTGCTGACATGTATTGCCACTATAGTTATAATTTGTTTTCTTTTGTGATGTAAACTTTTAAGATCTCTTAGCAAATTTGCATAGGTAACAGTAAATATAGATTGTTAACTGTGGTCACAGTGTTGTACATTACAACTCATTATCTTAAAACTGGAAGTTTGTCCTTTTTGACCACCTCTCATTTTGCTTATGAATCATCTCCCACTTTTGACAATCTCTAGTTTTCTGTATTTGTTTTTGTTATTTTAGATTCCACATATAAGTCAGCTCATAACAGTATTTTTCTTTCTCTCACTTATTCAGTCAACATAATGCCCTCAAGGTTTATCCAGACTGTGGCACATGGCAAGATTTCTTTCTTTTATTAAGATTAATATTTCACAATGTGACATAATTAATTCTTGATCCATTCCATTCATCAATGGAATATCTTGGTAATTATACATGATGGTGCAATGTCCATGAGGGCAAAAATATATTTTTGAGGTAGTGTTTTGATTTTCTTTGGATAAATATCAGAAGTGAAATTCCTAGATAATATGTTAGTTTAATTTTTTGAGGCACCACCATATTTTTTTATATAGTGTCTACACCAGTTTATATTCCTGTCAACAGTGCATAGGGGCTGAGTGCTGATTTTCAAAGCAGCTTAACTAAGTAACACATGTCATCATTTAACAAATTAGGTAACAGGTTCAAAGACTTGAAGTAATTTACCAAAGTAGCTCCCTGCTACGCATGGCATCCTCACATCCTCCTGACACTTGTTATTTCTTGTTTTCTTTATAAAACAGGTCTAGAAGATATAAGGTAAAATCTCATTGTGGTTTTGATTTGCTTTTTTCTCACTATTAGTAATATTGGGTATCTTTTTGTCTCCTGCTGGCCATCTGTATGTACTCTTCAGAGGAGTATTTATTCAGATCCTCTGCACACTTTTAATTGGGTTGGATTTTTTGTTTGTTTGCTATTGAGTTGTATGAGTTCTTTACATATCTTGGATATTGTTGAAATTTTTTTTTGATTACTCAATTTCCATACTAAATAATGATTGCTCAGATTTTCTGTTTCTTCATGATTCAGTCTTGGGAGGTTGTATGTTTAGGAGTTTATCCATTTCTTCTAAGTTATCTAATTTGTTGGTGTATAATTTTTCATAGTTGTCACTTTGGTCCTTTGTATTTCTATAGTATCAGATATGTCTCTTGATTTTATTTATTTGAATCCCCTTTCTTGGTGAGTGTAACTAAATTTTTGTCAGTTTATTCAAAGAAACAGGTTAGTTTCATTTTTCTTTTCTATTGTCTTTTTTCGTCTCTTTCATCATTTCCACTTCTATATTTATTTTCCTTCTAATAGCCTTGGGTTTGTTCTTCTAGCTCTTGGCAGTATAAAGGAAGGTAGTTGTTTATATTTGCACTCTTTCTTCTTTTTGAGTCTAGATATCTCTGTGAACATCCCTCTTAGAGACTTTTTTTTTTTTCTTGCTGTGCCCCATAGTTTCTGGTATGTTTGGTATTGTCTTAAGGTTATTTTGCATTTTTTTTATCTTTGATCCATTGATCACTTGGTAGCATGTGTTCAATCTCCATATATTTGTGAATTTTTCAGTTTTCTTCTTGTAATTTATCTCTAATTTCAAACATTTGTGATTTAAAATGCTTGATATGATTTTAACCTTAAATTTATTAAGACTTGTTTTAATTAGTTAATTAAGACTTGCTTAGAATATGACCTATTTGAGAGAATGTTTCATTTACATCTGAGAATATATATTCTGCTGCTTTTGCATGAAATGAACTTTAAATGTCTATTAAGTCCATCTGCTCTAATATATCATTTAAACCCAATATTTTCTTATTGATGTCCTATCTGGATAATCTTGTTGTTGAAAGTAGAGTATTAAAATCTTTTGCTATTACTGCTTGCTGTGTACCACCCCTATTGGGTGTGTAATATTTGCTTTATATATTTAGTTGTTTCTGTGTTTGATGCATACAAATATTATATTTTTTAACATTTCTTTTAAGGCAAGTTGAACTCTTTTAGTTCTTGCCTTTCTAGAAAACTTTCTTTCCCCTTCAACTCTGAAGGATAACTTTAATGGATAGAGTATTTTTGGTTGGCACTTTTTTTTTTAAATATATCATGTCGCTCCCTTCTGGCCTGTAACATTTCTGCTGAGAAATCTGCTAGTGGTCTCATGGAAGTCCCCTATACATAACAAGTTGTTTTCTCTTACTGGTTTTAAGATCATCCTGTTGAGCTTTTTACAGATTCATTGTACTCTGTCTTGGTGTGGGTCTCTGTGATTCTGGGATCTGGATGTCTCTTAGTAGAGACATGTAATGGAAATTTCTGCTATTATTTCTTCAAATAAGTTTTTTTTTTTAATTTATTAAGTTATGCAAACAAGAACTGAGGTACAGCGGATGAGAGGACTCACCAGAGACAGAGTAGGGAGCAGACCAGGCAGATTAACTGAAATACACTGCAGCGGGGAGCAGTGGGCAGGTCAGGAGACGTCTGCTGTGCCATGTGGGTCAGCTTCCTGGCCAGGGATCCAACTCATGCTGCTGTGACTGTGTCTTAACTTCTTGTACCATAAGGGAGGACCCTTTTCAAATAAGTTTTCTGCCCCCTTACACACTTTCTCTATTCTTGCGTGTTCTATACTGTAAATGTTGGCCTGCTTAATGTTGTTTCACAATTTCCTTCAGTTATGTTCACTCATTTGCTTTCTTTTTGTCTTTTGTGTCTCTGATGAGTTTCACTGCACTTACTTTTAATTTAGAGATTTTTTTTTCTCTTTCATAATGTCTGATGTGGAGCCCTCCATTGAATTTTTTAACGCAGTTACTCAATTCTTCAAGTCTGTGAATTCTCATTGGTGCTTTCTTACACTTCCTGACTTGTTGAATTTCTTTATGTATTGTTCTTCTGACCTTAGTAAACATCTTTGTGACTATCATTTAACTTCTCTATCAGATAACCATTTACCTCCATTTCATAAAAGAATGTTTTTCTGAGGTTTGCCTTGATCTTCCATTGGAACATAAGTTATCTGTTCACTTCCCTTGACACTGTGTTGGTTCTTTATATTAGATGTATCAGCCACCTCTCTCAGTATTGAAAGAATGTGCTATTATAAGTGAACCTTACCATACAGCCCTAGCCTAGGTGTGATTATCCAAACCACTTTCTTTGTTCTTAGTAGCTCCTACTAATTGTATTCTTTGTTCTGAATTCTACTAATTGAAGACCTGTTAGTTTCCCAGAGAGTAGACTCCCAATTAGTACTAGATGCATGTTAAGTAGAAACCAAACCCTCAAATTGCATGGTTTTAAAGTGTGTAAACATACCTCTTCCAAAGGAAGATTGGGGGAT